GATAGCAACTTTCTGATAGTGCCGTGGGTGTAAAGCCAGCCCACCATTCCGATATTACGTCATATCGGCAGAAAATCTGGATCAGCTTTGTTGTACCCCCGTTTTTAGAGATATGGGTACGGAAGAAAAGAGAGAGGGTTTTGTTTTCTGACATTTTGTGAATCCCCGACACACTAGGGACACATATTTATGTATAAAGGACATTAAAAAGTGCATTTTGCATGATAGGAGACCTTTAAGAAAGACATCCTGCCCTCATGGGACAACATGTGAAACATTAAGGAGTAAGGACCAATCACTGTTACAGGTACCTTTAAAACAGCGGCTGTCGTTATGCGTGTAGCACTCGTGAGTTTTGCAGCAGAACAGAAAGAGTGTTCTGTGGAAACTTCTGTCCTGACCAGAAATTGGTCCGTACACCTGAAAGGAAAATGCAGGAAGTCAGTACTTTACGTTTAATACATTAATTATCGTATTAATTGGGCTGATATTGTAAATAGATGTTAGCTTCTTGTTCATAATAAAAAGGGAGGAAAACAACTATTATATTAAGAGGAAATCTGCCAAAATGTATTTCATATTGTGATGTCTTTTCTCTTTTGAAATGTCTATGAAAGTAATGTTAATATTTTTTTTGCACTTTTACTCATTAATGATATTTTTTAGTCTTGATTCTACTGGTTCAAACTTTAAATTAGAAAACATATTAATCAAATGCTTTTACAACACAATGTAAAACAACCACACAAGGCCGCTTCCTAAAGATGAATATTTTTGTTAGCCTTTTTTTTTTATTTACCTTTTTTATATTTCTTGTGGTTGACTTACTTACTTTTACTTTTTTCTGAATTAGTTATGTCTGTCACTATGTAGTTGTATTTATACTGCTGACTTGGCTAGATCTCCACAGTTCCAAAAAGTACCTAATCTCAAGGGGATGCTCCTGGTTATAAATAAGGGTTAAACAGAAAAAGAATGAATAAAAAAATAAATTAAAAAAAATAAAAGTGTGTCACTTAGGGACTTCATGAGATAAAATAAAGGCTAAATCTGTATAAGGAACTTTCCGGAACATTTAAACGTCATGTAACACCTGTGTCACGGTGGGTCCCCGTCCTTATGGGTTAAGATTAAAGCATATTTTACTGTGAAAAAGAAATATGTATGTATGGCTTCTCCGGGACACTGACCTGCAGCAGGAAGGCCATCGGCAGGCGGCACATCTCACACTGTAGCCCGGGTAGGGAGGGCAGGCCTGTCCGGCTCAGCCACGCCGGCCTACCCCCCACTTTGCTGGGGAACTGCGGGGCCAGAAGCCGCCACGGCTCCACTTCCTCCAGGAAGCCGAGGACCACCTCCTCCGAGGACAGGCTGCGACCTCCGGACATTTTAGAGAAATTAATATGGTATGTTAAAAACTGACAGAATAAATCCTGCTTCACAACACATGTTTTGAAAATGTGGTGCCATTCAGAAAAGGGTCCGTGAGGAAACAGCGATCCGCAGGTGTTTCGTTCCGCACTCCGCAGTCCTCGAATCACTCACTGTAGAAATAAAGAGGCTAATGCTGTTTGGGGGACACGCATTATTAGTTCACCTGACACTCTGAGACCATGTCTGAGACCCATGAAATGTTATTAAAAAAAATTAAACAATATTTTAAGTCATCTTTAT